TTTTTTGTAATATTTTAATAATTTTTTGTAACATTTTAATGATGTTGCCAAGATTTTGATAACTTTATAAAATAATAATTAATTTTAATTCAAATATTACTATCAATTATTATATTTTTTATGTCTCCTAAACTAAATTTCTAAGAGTTCCTTAAGTTTTTATGGAAAGAAATTTTTAGTTAGTCACCACTAATTATATATAGAATATCAAATTTCATTTATCTTAAATATAATTATATGAGTATATATACTCTTTATGAGTTATTAATCTATTCGATGTGAGACTTTAATTATGGGTTACAATTAGATATAAGAGAAATAAATTTTTTTTACTCGATGTGGGACTTTGATTTTAAAAGCAATTATAGTAACATTTTTCAAAAAAAATGTTGCAAAATAACTTATGTAAAATTTTTTTACTCGATATGTGACTTTGATTTTAAAAACAATTGGAAAGAATAATATTGAAATAAAAAATGTTACTCTATCTATAATGACATTTTTCAAAAAAGTGTTACAAAATAACATTTATATAATATATAATAACATTTTAATAAATATAAACAAGAAAATGTTGCTAAAAGATTAAAATCTAGTAGTGACCCCATAGATATAACTAGCTAGAGGAGTAAAATAATTGAATTATTTAAGCTTGATTTATTAATAGTTTGTTCAATCTCATCTGTTTAGCTAAATAAATAAGTACAAGCTTATAATTAAGTTTGATTACTTAAATATGTATAAATAACAACTCGTAGTACTTGACATTAATAATTCGCAAATAGCTTGTATATATGCGCGTCTTCTGTATTGTATGCGTGTTTGCATCTCGTATATTATGTGTGTTTCAAATAGTCAACTTTATGAATACAAAATCATATTTTATTACAATTTTAGTTTATTTTTTAGTTTGAAGATATTTGTTAAATACTTGATTAATAAACAAAACTTTATTTAAAGAAAATTTTGATAAAGAAAAAAATAATCAAGTCATAATTAATAAGATAGAGTAAAATTCAAGTTTCAAGAAGTTTAACCTAGCTAGTTAAACTTAAGCATTTGCTCTTTGTTAACATGAACGAGTCAAATTTTAGAATTTCTTTTTATCATATAAGTGAAGTTTAAATTTCAAGTATTCAACTCAAATTGGAGTAAAAAAGCATTGAACTCAAATCACTTACATTTTTAGACATAAGTCTTAACCAAAGATATAGTATTTCATAATTTAAACATTAAGAGTGTTATGTTCTTTTCAATTAAAAATATAATTGATGAGTTAAACGTAAGATTTGAGAGAAAAATAAATCCTAATGTTAAAGGCATCACTAAAAATAATTAATAATTTTAAATTTTTAAAAGCATAAAACAGTATTAAATAATAGTAAATTTATATATCACAAAAAATAGTGATCTATAAAAAAAAAATATCTTGGTGTTAAAAATATAATTTGGATTTGTAACATTAGAGTTATCAACAAATATATGAATCAATTAGTACAAAATTGTTTTAACTTAAATATTGATCTCAAATCCAAGATTTAAATATACAACTATATTAAATATTTGGAATAAGAATTTTGCCGATTGTAGTAACCTTACTTGATCTATATATATATATAATATATATATATATATATATATATATATATATATTGTGTATGACTTATAAAAAAAATAACATTTGAGTTATATATTTTATTGTATTCTTGTATATTAGAAACATATTAAAATGACATTATTAATTGAGTAATTGAATAAACATTTTACATAATAGTTTTTTTTATAACATTTTTCACAATATTAATTTTTATATTTCTCTATCACATTACTCATGTTATTTCATAACTTCTTTTAATGATAAATTTATTGGATATGTCATGATCACACTTGATGTGTACAAATTATTAAATTTATCTAGTTTCGTGAACCTATTTATTTATTTAATAGAATATATATAGTAAAAGTAATACATTGATAAAGTGATACCCGATAGAGAACAAACACCAAAAAATAAAAATTGTCCTAGAATAATACACTATATAATAATATAATACTTATTAAAAAAATTACTTTTACCTAGATACAATATATATCATTATACTTTTAAAAAGTAATTATACTAACATACAATATATGTTATAAAATTTTATCAAAAATTAATGTTAAAATTATATGTAAATATAAGTAAAATAAATTTATACTTACATTATTATATTTATAATAATATTTTTTTAGGTTAAAAACCTATTTTGGTCCTTTATAATAATTGTTTGTTTCAATTTAGTCCTAGTTTTATTTTTTGTCTCAATTTGATCTCTAATAAATTAATTGGTTGCAATGTGAGACTTCCGTCTAAATTATTTAAACGGAATTAACTGTTGGCCACGTGGATGCCACGTAGATGCACAGGTGGATGCCACGTGGATGTCACGTGGATGCCAAATTTCTTAAAAACACCTGGAACCAGAACGTCCCGTTCTGAAACCAGAACGTCCCGTTCTGAAATCAAAACGTCCCGTTCTGAAACCAGAACGGGCCGTTCTGGGTGCATAGTTGATGTGTTAATTTTGCATCTAAAACGGGCCATTCTAGATGCAAAATTAACACACCACGAGTACAAAAGAACGGCCTGTTCTGAAACCAAAACCGCACGTTCTAAAACCAGAACGGCCCGTTCTGGTTTCAGAACAGGCCGTTCTGGATGCAGAACAGCCCGTTCCAGAACTATAATAATTTTGAAAAATATTTTTTTATGATAAATTTTTTTAAATTACTTATTTTTATAAAATATAATTGTCTTATAAATAGAGTGATAACTTTTCCTTTTTCTCTTTCTGTCTGAAGAAATATTTAAGTGTCACTTAATAATTTTTTGCAACTTATTTAAAATAGAGGAATAAAATTATAAAAATTAATAGGATAAACATAATAAAATTATAAAAATTAATAGGATAAACATAATAAAATTATTAATTTGTTTTCTTTTAGTGTCCTCTAAATTTTTACACTCATTTAAAACAAAAATATTTTATATGTTATTTTGAATTAATTTAACGAAGTATCATATGATTTTTAATTTTTTAAAAAATTTTATAAATTTAATCTATACATGAAAA